ACTGCTTGCAGAAAACCTAATGTGGCCTTGCCCCCAGCAAACCATGTCCCCACAGTTCTGCTGAGGAATACTAATCTCTCCTTTCTTTGCCAGGATCTCAGGGATGATATTAGTATGTATAAGATCCAGAATGCATGAGCTGCCAGAATAGGGATGTTCCCCAGAACCCACTTGCCACAGCAGGGAAGTCCTTTGGGAGACCCTGCCCATAAATATTTGATTTACAGCCCCATCCACGGGGTGGAACAGCTGGTCCATTTGTCAAGTGCCTTTTATCAAAATTATTTATCATCCCAATACTTTTTTTATGCGGATCAGTCTGGAGCTGAGCTACCCTAAGCCAACCAGTATTTATTTTCTCTCTTTCCCTTTTCTCTCCTGGGTTGCCTTCCATCCCAAAGACAGCCCCAGGTCTGGGAAACACCTGACCCAAAGCCACCCCCATCTGGCACGAAGCACAGATCAGTAGAACAAGAGAAACTGGCTTCTATCTTTTGTCAAATGCAAATTGCTGAGAGTTAATTAAGATACATTTCAGGAACAGTGAGGTTTTTTAGTTTTTTTAAATTATAATCTATCCTGAGGTGTGGGTAGGGTTCAACATCTCTCCTCAGGAAAGGGGTTACAAAACTGGAACTGCAGTTGGCAAAGGTGCTGACAACAAAGGTCCCACAGGGCTTCAGTGGCAGCCAAGCATACAGGGCTCTCCTGTGAGACTGAAGGCAATACAGGTCCAAAACCTCCTTCGCATATATATTTTTCCAGCTTTCCCTTTTTTTAATGATCAGTGTCTTCACCATGGCTTGTGAGATTTGTTGTTCTGCAAAGAAGATAGGGCCACAAACACATGGTGCTTCTGCCTTGTTGGGAGCATGTTAAATACTTGTTGTTTTCCCCTGCAAAAGGTGTAAGTCTTCTACACACACACACACTCACCCCCAAAGAATAAAAGGAAGGTTAAACGACAGAACAGACTTTGCAAGTGTTTTCGTGCTTCCCACTCATCATCAATGCCCAAAGCAGAAGCAAGTCAGAGAACAACTGGAGGTATTTAAGCAGCCCAAAGTAATCATCTGAGTAGCGCTTAAAGTGTGAGGGATTGAGTAGGAAGACGGGGTTTGAGCCAACTGCTGTTGCCTTTCTGGGGAGGCTTCACTCAGAGGTGTTTACTTCCTCATGCCTTCATGGAGATGTGGCAGTCTATGAAAGCACTCCTCCTGGAATTAGATGAAAATGGTTTAAAAAAAAAAAATAAGAAGGAGGGGGATGTTCTATGTCCTGTCATAACAAGGAAAAGCTTAAAAAAGCTCACCCAAATATTCACCAAAGGTAAGACATGATGTACGCTTAGGAAACGGATGGAGAATATCAAGGCATGGGCTTTCTGACTTGCTGAAAGAGAAAATCATTACCAGAGCACCCAAAAATATCACTTCACCATCTCAGAGAGGAGGCACTCGAGCTGGATTTATATATGGAAGGCCTTCTGCCGCAGGGATGTGGATGGAGGCTGGCTTTGGGCCCAGGAGGCCCTGTAGAGTTTATATACACTGATTGACACTTTTTTTATCCATGGAGGCAAACCCAGGAGGAAGGGACAAGGGTCCTCCTAGCTGTGCAGTGTCCCACTGGCCAGTAGAAACCTGGGAATGAAGGGGCATCCAAGATGGGAAAAGCATGGTCACACTTGGTTTGGCACAAGGATATAGAGATCAAAATAAAACGGGTACATTTAAACAAGCTGATGACTTTGGTGTTAACATGTGATTTCTGAATAACTACCAAAACACCAGGCAGGAAACTGTGTGGTTTTGAAAATATCTTTTGAAGGCGTTCTGCATGTTCAGTGGAGCGACTCCATCTTCAGTTAAGAAAGCAGAAAAGAGTGGGCTGATCCTCAGAGCAGGGGGAAACCCTGCCCACATCTGAGCCTGCAGTCTGGGCTCTCATGAGTAGGTTACTACAAGGAACCATCAGCTGGGAATAGACAGGACACTCAGGAGAACCTTGGTAAGAAAATTATATCAGCCTTAAACGACGAAGACATGACTGAGACCCAGTTCCTCTGTGCACCAGTTCTGAGTGGGAGGGATAAGCTGGAAAATTTCCTTTGAAATTCTGTCCCCTACAGGCTCAAAGCAGCCAGAGTATTAGAGAGAGACTTTTAAAAGTGTCATTATATATTTAATTAACTCAGAAATCCGTGTTTCTCGGTTTGTGGCTCCTAGCACATGCAGAACTGCAAGCCTGCACAGAGGTTGCCAAGACCTTTGCCACCCCCAAGAGTTACAAGACTCTCAAAAGCACAAGGAGATGACTGGGAAGAGACACACTGCAGATGACAGCAATTGAAGACTGACTTCTTTGTCCATCACTGCTGCCTGAGGCTGTCAGAGTGGTGCTCCAGCCATGTCCAGTGCAGGGCTCTGGAAAGCTCAGACACCTACAAATACCAGGCACATTGTTTGTACACGCCCTGCTCTGTTACTGGTGCTTTGTTCCTGGTGCTTTCCTAACCCAGACTTTGCTGAGGAGTCAGCTGAAAGGCTTGGGGCAGTGGCAAAGGCAGGAGGTGTTTTTGTGCCCTTGGATACTGGAAGAGCTCCAACCTGTCCTGACAGTAAGAATCCTCCTCCCTGGTGCCTGTCAAGGGAGATGTAAAAATGAGTCAGTGGCTCAGCTCACTTTCAAGTCCTACTTGACCAAAGCTGATTGTGGTGAGTCGTGTCCTGTTGGTGCCCTTTCACCACATGCTTGGACAGAGGGGATAAAGCCATTCTGTGCCACATCATCTCACCAAAATGCAGAGGGGGGACGTGCTGACAGCCCCACAAGGGACCTCTCTGCAAAATTTCTCTGAATTATTTAGTTGCTATAGATGGTTTCAGTGCTTGACACAAATCTTAAGAAGCAAGTTATCCATATCCTGACAGAGAATCCACCATCCTCCACGCAGGCAGGCGGTGGGTTCAGCCCTTTGTGAGCTCTCAGAAGCACCAGATGACACGAACAGCAAAGTCTGAGCTTTGCATTTGCTGTAGCTGACACATGCTGTTTGCTGAAAGAGAATTAGCCTTTACCTCTGCAAAACTGAGCATTAAGAGCTAGTCCAGCTGCTAGTAAATGCCAATTAGGCTGCTAAAAACCCAGGTTGCTCGTGAAAAATAGGACTTGAGCTCCTGAAACACGCAGGTCCTCTTTCAGCCTGGTTTTTCATTACTTTTCAGTCTCTAACTTGATCAAGTGTTAGAGCTGAGATGCAGCCAGCCTGGGATTACCCATTAAAATAATGAAAAACCTGTAAGACAACTGTAAGGCAACAATTTCTTCCAGGCATGCAAAACAGTTGTGTTCACCCTTACAGAATTGCCTGTGTTTTGTTTCAGGTCCTGGCTTTGTAGATAAAGGAATGTGAGAACATAACGAGCACATCAGCCTTGTACCGAGTTCAGATTAAGCACAGCAAAACCACCAGCACAGCCGCCATTTAGTCAGAAAGAAAGAAACATTTGGGGTCAAAGTGACATTATCTCACATGGCACAAGAAGCTGGGCACCTGCTAAACACACCCAGGTGGGTGGGTGGATGTGCCACATCGGAAAAACTAGAAAAAAAAACTGTGTGCCAGTAAATCCTCTGCTAAATTCTCTTTGCAGAGGTTGATATAAACAAAAGTTAGGATGAACAAAAGGGGAGTACACAAGCCTGCTTGGCAAGGGTGGGTCTTCCAAAAGGCACACCTGAATTGTTTCTGTGGAGACATTTTGCTTGATTTTTCTCCCAGCTCTCACAACATTCAGCAGTTTTGCAGGTCTTAGAACCACGTGTCTATATATGACTTTTAGCTCTTATTTTAAAATGAACAACTGGAAGTCGTAGCCTTAAGAAAGCAATATAGTATGATCCCTGAGAGGGTTAAAGAACCTGAAGTTAAGTTCAGGTGACCTGAGGGTGGAGGTGACAGGATTGGTGAGGTCCCAGGTCAAAGACCATCCATCCAGCATGAGGAGGACTCTCCAACCCCTCAGCTCCACTCCAGCCTTGTTGTAACCTTGCCAGAAGTAAAATATTGGAAACGTGGGTGACAGCTTAGATTACACATTGTTAGAAACAGCCAGGATAATCTGCTGCCAGGTCCCTAAAAGGAAATCTTTAGCTAACAAACATGCTCCAGCCTTTTGAGCTGGCAGATAACGATGGAGCAGTGGATAAAACATAGCTGGATACCAGGGAGGTGGTGCTGTGCAGGGAGGTGTTTCACCAGGTGTCAGGTTTTTGGGTCAGGTTTTTGGGTGTTGCAATGTGCCACACTGCAGCCCTGGCACTGCAGCTGTGCCAGTGCCCTGCTCTCAAGGACAGCCAGCATAGCTTGATGGGCTTTGTGCTCCTTATTGTGGGATTCATCATGGCCATACATCATCTCCATGTCCCTCCCGTGACACTACAGAACATGGCTTTGCAAGACAGATCCAACAGGGGGTCAAAGAAAAGCATCAGCTTCCTTGTTTATAAAAAAACTCTGCATGAGACATCCCTGCCCTTCTCGAAGGCAAACAGGCAGCTCTGTCCCATCTAAGGCTGTGACATTTCCAAGCCAGGGAAATGCTGCAGTTTTAGATCCTTTGGCATCCCAAGATCCTGGGAAGGTGCCCCATGGTGCTGCTGCTGCTGCCATCACCACCAGTACCACAGGACAAGCAATACTGTGTCTCTTCTGAGGGTAGGAACCTTGTAGACATGGATTTTGCTCCTGCTGAGAAAGTCTCTGTTTGGAACAGCATGTCTCGGCTCATGGAGACTTCTCCTGCTGAGACATTTAGAACAAATTCTGCACAAACCTTTCTGGTATGGTAAAAATAATAATGATGAAATGGCAAGACCCTGGAAGTGTACACACAGTGGAAACCAAATTTGGAATGATTTAAGTGATTCAGGCTTTTTGGGGGGCAATAAGCAGCTAGTGCAGCTCACCACATGCTCACACAACCCAAGAGCTCGAAGTCAGCTTGAATGAGTGATTCATTATTCCGCACACGCTCCGGCTCCTCCGCCGCTCCAGCCTGTACCCAGCTGGATCTCAGGAGAAATTCCTAGAGTGTGTAATTGTGTATAATGTGATCATCCTGCAGCAGGAAATAGGTTTGTAAGCATTCTTAGCCAGTACAATCGATGTCGTACAGATATGGTCTGCAAGGAAACGAAGTGGAGATACATATTGCAGCGAGTCACTGGAGAGCCAACGCAGCCTTCTGGGAAGGACAAGGTAGGCAGGGAATGTATTCAAGCCCGAACAGTCACGGTACGTGTAGTACTTCATTTAAAAATGTCTCGGCGTGACCGTGCTCAGAGGGATGGGGAGATGCTGACCTGCGAGCCCCCAGCAGCAAGGGGAACACCCCACGGAGAGAGGCAGGCGCAGGCTGGAGGAGGGAGCCCGGCAGGGTTGTGTGGTTTAGCGGCAGCCTGGTCCCGCAGCTGGGCTGGGGCCGTAGGGATGCGCAGGGAGCCGGCATAGCGGGCTGGGGGCTCGCAGGCTCCGGGCACAGCGGGCTGGGGGCTCGCAGGCTCCGGGCACTGCGCCCATCCCCTCCCCGGGGAGCGCAGGCTGAGCCCGCAGCACCCTCTAGAGGAACGCGGCCACCCAGCCCTCGGCTTCAGGGAGGGTTTGCATCCTCCGGGAAGAATCTCTCCAGCAATGCTTTTTTCCTTAGGTGGGTCTAAACCATAGCTGGATGTAAAAATGTAAAGAAAAAACAAACAAACAAACAAAAAAAACCCAACCCAAAAACACAACCCAGCAACCCAAAGTGTCAAACCCATCTTTCAAGCTGAAATTAAAAAATGCTGGGCAAGAAGCCTGAGTCCTCTCCTGCAGGACCCATTTTCTGTTTGTGTCTTGCACGTGCAGTGTGCAGGTTCCAGCCTGTGAATCTGCTGGGCTTGGCTGGGCCCTTTAAAGTGCATTTGTCTGATAAAGAGTGGAATAAGGAAGATAACCCAGTGGAGAGAGTAGAAACACTTTTCTGCCTGTTTAGTGAAAGGAACAAGCACGAATCAGATAAATGCCAAAGGCAGGATACCAGCAGCAGGATAGAGCCACAAGGCATGGAACACCTCTGCTGTAAGGCTGAGAGAATTGGGATTGTTCAGCCTGGAAAGAAGGCTTTGGAGTCACCTAATTATGGCATTGCAGTACTGAAGGGAGCCTGCAAGAAAGATGGAGAGAGACTTTTTGAAAGAGCCTGGAGTTGCAGGAGAAGGGGGAATCACTTCTAACTGAATGAGAGTAGGTTTAGATTGGACAGGGGAAAAATTCTTCCCTGTGAGTGTGGAGAGGCCCTGGCACAAGGTGCCCAGAGAAGCTGTGGCTGCAACATCTCTGGAGGTGTCCAAGGCCAGGCTGGGTGGTCTTGGAGCACACTGGGATAGTGGAAGGTGTCCCTGCCTAGGGTAGGGGGTGGAACAAGAGGAGCTTTAAGGTCCCTTCCAACCCAAACCATTCTGTGATTCTGTTGTTGGTATCTCCCTGGGTGACAGCCCAGCCTGCTGTCCCCACTCTCTCAGGTATCCCCAGCTCTCCCATTCCAGGAAGGATCTGGAGCAAGAGAGCAGCTGTCTGTCTGGAGACCCTGGAGCATCCTTGTGATGTGTCTGCTTGAAGCTGTGCTTGGCCCTGGATTCTCCAGCTGCAGAGGTGGGTCCAGCTCTAATCTGAACTTGTGCCCACAGCACTTTCAGTGGCCCTCAGCTTCCCGGTGTGTGACCTCCAGCTCACCTGGCCCAGCAGGGCTCCAGCTGAACACCCAACCTTGGCCCAGGGCAGGTTTCCTGGTCAGGAAATTCCCTATGGACAGGCCACCTGCTGGGCACTGAGCAGCACACTGGGGGCATCAGAATATCCAGGGGTCAGACACCTGTGAAGCCTCATTAACACTATCTTCCTGTCCCCCTTTCCTTTGTCCTCAAATGGGAACTCACAGAATATTTAATTATTGAGATCAGGCTGAATATGGAGATATTACTCATCACAGATTCTGGGGATAAACAGTTTCCTTTGCAGAATAATTCCTTTTTTAACACCCCTCCCTCTCCTTTTCTCCAAATTAATTTCCATCCCAACCATGAGCCTCTGTAGAAAATCTTGCCATAATCATTTTGAGCTAAATATTCTGTCTAATCAATCAAAGCAGTGGAACCAATTTTGAAGCTGTCACTTTTAATTTTTCCAATAAGAAAAAAATTGAGCATTTCACTCACAGTGCTGTTGTGATTCAAGCTCTTCAAACCTTCACTCCACTGCATCAGTGCTTCAGAGCTGTACTTGAAAATGTGAAGAGCAGGCACAATTGCAGAGAAACTAAAATAAATTGATTTTTAGCAGTGAGAAGAAACCTGTTTCTTCATGTACCCTTAGACCCGGCTCACAAAACCTTTTCTTTTTTCCTTTCTTCCCTGCTTTCTTCCTCAGAGCAAAAATAACTACAGCATATTAGTGATTTCATGCATGCAAAGGGCTGGCACTCATTAAAGTTGATGTGTTATTGAGAGCTTGGTGCACAAATGCCAACGAAGGGCCAGAGAGCAGATGTGCTGGGTGCTGGGGTGGGTGAGAGGATTCCTGATGCCCCTGGCATGGGATTCCTGGGGACACATCCACGATGGAGGAGCTGACCTGTGGGAGGAGACAGGAACAGCCTCGGCACAAAAAATGGCTGGAGAAATCCATCCTGGAAAGAACAGGTTGTTAAACACTCTGGCAAGGGCACTTTGTGTTCAGGGTAGGCGTGGGCTGCGTTCCTGCTCAGCGAGGAGCCATCAAATTGAGGCTTTGCAAGTCCTCCAGCGAGCAAACAGGAACATTCTGGTCAGGGGGAGTTGTGCCATCGCGTTCCTGCCTCCCCGCACACTCAGTGCCAGCCACAGCCGTGAGCTGCCATTCACTGCTGCTTTTAGGGATGGATGTGAACCAGCTCAGGCCCTGCAGGAGCACAGGAGGAGAGGAAAAACAGCAAAAGCAGCAACAGTGCCCTTGAGTTGGACCCCTGCTTGAATCCAAAACAGAACCTGCCAGTTACTGAGGAAAAATGAACTTTTTCCCCCTGAAACCAGGACAACCACGTAGAAAAGGGAAAGGATCCTTCCAACAAATCCATACCTGAACTGCCTATGTTCAGGACCACTTCCAGTTTCACATTAATTTCACACCAAGATAGTCTCAACTGGGATCCCACGGCTCTGGCGCCGCTCGCAGGGAAGCCAAGCAGTGGTGGCAGGACAGTGCCAGCCTCAGCTGTGGCTGCCCTGTGTGACCCCACAGCCGCCCTGCTGCCATCCAGCACCCCTGGGCCCAGCACCATGCACCCAGCAGAGGCTGGCAGGCCCCACATCTCTCCTCCTTGCTGCTAGCTCCTCTTCAGGAGCCAGTAAGTGGGACTCAGGAGGCACATCATCAGCAGGGGGATGCTGGAGTGGCAGTGGAAGCCGACAGTGTCACTCAGCAGCTGCCTGATGTCTCTTACCAACCCCCTGCCTCACCCTCTGGCTCTGTTGTCTTGGTTTATTGTGTCTGTCAAGGACACAGATTGGGTTTGGAAGTTCTGAGGATGTGGAGAGCCCTCTGGCATCTGAGAAAGGAGATGAAACCTACGAAATGGAGAAGTTAATATGTTTTCAGTTTGCAAGAGAGCTTGGAAATGCCACTGATGCTTTATTAATCTCTTCTGCCCCTGGAGGACAACAGGCAGCTGCTTTTTCCTCTCTGCTAAATTTCCTTTACTGGAAGTCAGAGAGGGGCAAGTTAATTCTATTTTGGATACGGAGAGTTTTTGTCTATGCCTTTCATAATGCTTTTGGATTATTAAAACTCCTTTAAAACATGACTCTTTAATCTATTTAAGAAGTGCAATTTTCTTTCTATGCTGTTTCACCCCAGCAATTTCTCTCTCCCAGGAAAACCCAAATGACTCAAGTCTAGCCATTTTTATTGCTGTTCTGGGCCTTTCCCCATCACGTCTTGGCTGCTGATACTGAGCAAGGACAGAACTCATCCCAAGGCAGGATGGGGCCCCCAAAACAAGGAGAAATGACACCAAAGCCAAGTGTTCTGACATGATGATCGGTTGTATTTTCAGTCCATTAATACACATTCATTTACCAGATAGAAACAGAGTGGAAAGGAAAGCGATTGTTAGCAGGAACAAGGATACAAAACTCAATTCCAGCAGCCTTCACAGAAGGGATATTCAGTGTCACAGCAGCACTGATGGAAGGGAGGGATGCACAGACCTGTGCTCACACCCCAAGTGGAAGCTCTCCTTTTGTGGATTAGTTTAGCTAGAGACATAATTTTACAAAAACCCCAACATTTGCAAAACTGACTTTTTGACACTTTTTCTCACTTTCCTAGCATCAGGACTAAGGAAAGTTGGAATTATTTACACAGAGCAGATTCTATGAAAAGACACTGGAAGGTTAAAAACAGAATAATCACAAATACTGGAAAATACAACAAGAAAGCAGGCAGGGAAAGGAAAATAGGAAAAAAAAAAAGTGATACCCCAAGAGGATCATTGCATTCAGTGGTCAATGTATGGTTAGTGGGGCAGCTCCACTTTGATACAGAGATTCACATGCTGGCCTTGATTCACTGCCATCAAGTTACACCCTGGGTTTCAAGCAGGATTCTGCAGAGCTCCTGATTTCAGCAGGATCTCAGCAGTGCAGCAGCAATTGCTTGTTTGAAACCAGTTGCAGCATGAGTGCCACAAGCTGTGACAGTGTGTTCACGCTTTGTGGGGCACCCAAGGGGTGCCAGCCTCTGCTCATATCCTGGTCTGGACACTGCTGGTTTTCTTCCCTTTGGCCACCACAGCACTGCACCATGAAAGGTTCTGCTGCTGGTGAGAGGGGTCAGCTTAGCCCATAATGGATTTGGGACTCCACATGCAGCAGGAGAGGGAAATGGCATTATCCTACAGTACTCTCATACTTGTATGGGAGTGTCTCCACAAACACAGCTCTGTGCCCAGACAGAACCCCCTGACTGTCCTTGCTACAAGTGCTCGAGGCTCGTTACACTGAAATAACAACAGCAAAACACATCTGCACTTGATTGTACAGGGATGCTCCTTTGAAAGGAATAAAGATATTGTAAATTATTCATGGAAGAGTCCCAGCAAGGTGACACCTGCACTAAGGTTCTCCCAGGGACAGCACCAGGATTGCAAAATCATGTTGTGAAATTTGATCCAAAAAAAAAGGAAAATGGAGTGTTTGGGGTTTAATGCAGCAAAGCTCACACCAAGTCAGGGGAAAAACAGACCAAAAACTGAGCTGAGCACTTCGCCTCTTCCATGGAGCACTGGAGTGGTTCTCCTTTAAATTGTTTTTAGTACAGTTTTTGGAGATGATGACATTTTACTCCTCATTTTTAAAATCATGCATTAACTTTACAGTGAAACATTTATCCAGTCCAATATCTATACAACAAAACACATATTTTAAAAGAGCAGACTATTAAAATTTAAGGAAAGGAGTGTCAGTTCTCAAAGTGGAACGTGTTAAGGAATAAATTAAAGGTAAAATAAGTGTTCTACTTGGGCTGAATTACAAAATAAAGTCTGAGCCTGGGAGAAGTTCTCATTTCCTACAGTTCTAATAAATAACTGCCACAAGAAACAGTTGATGTTTCTGGGGTTGCCAGTGCTTGAATCCACATCACCTGTTCCAGCTCTGGGTACCGTGGGTGGCCCTCTCCAGACTGCAGCCCACGCTGGTATGACAGACTAAGAAGTAGTGATTGTTCAGGTGCACAAATCAACTCTCTCAAGGTGTTCAACTTCACAGGCTTCTTAATGTAAGAAACAAACCTGTAGCTGACAGGACCCAAGGAGCCAGCTCCAAACAGCACAGCCCAGGGTGTGAATGAGCAGGGCCTTCATCAGGAGCCTGCTGTTTGTTTGGGGTGAGCAGTGCTGCTTCCACAGGGAACCTTTGGCCCCACAAACCCCTGGGGACGCTGGGATCTCCTCCCTGTGCCAAGGCTGCCGTGCACACCTTGCTTCCATTTGAATGTTACCAAATTCCTGGTGTCAGGAACGCAGCACCAACAGGGAAGGGATGATCAGCACAGTCTCTGCTCCCACAGAGGGGAACCTCCTCCCAGAGAGCCAACACCAGGCCTGTCTGCTACCTCAATAATGAAAGACCTTCTTAATTAGCACCTTTTCATACCAAACCAGTTAATTACATCTCTCTCCATGGCTCTGCTGTATCACTGGGGACCAGCAGCTATCACACAGTGGGCTGAGCATTGCAGAACCTGAGTGGTTTTTCCCCAAAGCAGCCTGGCAGAGGAGGAGTTAACACCTCTGGAGTTAGGGAGCCCCAACAATTAGCTACCTACCATTTTGAAAGACAATGCAAGGCTAATTTAACAATTATAAAAACCTTCACTAATATGAATATGAGGAGAATAAGAGCACTTAGAAGGTGACAGGAGTGTTGCACTTCAAGGTTCAGTGTATAGGTGGAGGGGTTGAACACTTTCTGACTCTCAACACAGATCTGTGTGACTGACAAGGATTCTCTGGCAGGCTGTAACTGTTTGAAGTCAGCAGCTTCAGTCAAAAGAAACCAGCTAAAAATATGAGGAAAGAAAAGCTCTGAACCTGCACTGATGTGAAATCACAGGACATCTTTGATCTTTCTCGATTGTAAATGGTCAGGGCACACTTTGCTTTGGCTCTGTGGGGGGTGACCCCGGGTCAGGTTTTTTTAAGGAAAAAAATCAAGGGAACATATTTGTGTGCTTACAGCATGCCAGGTAAAACCATCAAGCCCCCAGACTCAATCACATAAAATGCTGCACATGCACTTCCCAAAGGTGAACCAGACCATAGATGCCAGAAAGGAGTGTAAAAGGCAACTGCACCTACAAAACACAAATGTAAAACAGTAGAAGCTGTAGGAATGGGCTGAGATTTGGAAGAATATCTGGGGTTTGTTCTCTGTTTGGGTGATGCAGCAGGTACAGAATAAGCTGGTGCCTGTTTACAGGTCTGAACACAGAAAGCAATCAGCAGAAATGTCATGCCAGCTACGTTTTGGGGATAGATAGGTGACCAGTGGGATTCTTTTCCAATTAAAAAACTGTTGGAAGAGCCGGAAAAGAAAAAAATTAACTCTTCTGTGAACTAAAATAAATAACAGTTCACTGGGCCTTTTGACCAAGTGCTGGGCACAGGTATAATCCTGGGAAGGGATGCCTGGATGCAGGGGCAGCAGAAGAGCTCAGCCTCCCTTTCCCCCAGATCCAGCTCTCCTGAAGTGTTTTCTAATGCTGCATTTTCCCAGCAGCTGACACAGCACTGCAGACTGCCAGAACACCCCAGGTCAGAGCTGGACATGAAACTGGGAGACATGGTCTCATTGCAGGATGAAGCATGGGTTAAGACCCAGACTGGTGCCCACCACATGAGGTTCTAACCTAGGAACTGTAGTGTTTTTCTCAGGATGTTGGATTGAACTGCTGCTTCTCTGTACAGGGAGGTGCAGAAGAGCTTTGGAAACCTTCTTACAGCAATGGAAAACAGGAATGTGCATGCTGAGTTTTACCTCTGCTTGGGAAGACATGTCCTGCATGACTGAACTCAAGGCTGTTGCTGGTTCAGGAACAAAGCAGAGCAGAGACAAGGCTTTGCCACTTTCTCCCCTTCCCCCTTGCATTCACCTCATCTACAAAACCAGCTCTGCCTGAGCATTCTGTCAGCCTAATGGCCTTTCCAGCTTTGAAATAGGGGGAAAGAGATGGAAATGAAAATGTATGCATATGCTGCAAGATAAATTCACAAGCAGACTGCCGAGCTTGGTTCAGATCATGCTGGCTTTGGAGTCTCAGTCCTGTTACAGGCAATGCCTTGGTTTCCCCTGGCTCTGGACATCTCAGGCTTCAGTTGGAACCTTGGTCCTCTCCTGAGGAAAACAGTCACACTCAGTGGGACCAAGCTGATGTGCTGTGTGTCTGCAAAGGCCAGCAAACTCCAGTGATCTCCAGCAGCACCTCCAGCTCCACTGACACTGCCCTCTGCCAAGCCTGAGGGCTGTTGATTGCTCCAGCTACAATAGGAAGAGGATTTTTTTCCCCCCAAAGTGATGAAGAGACCAAAATGCCGATTCTGATACAGGATTGTTAGTCTGTTTCCTTTAAGAAGTGAACTCCTACACTTGGAAAGCTGCAGGACAGCCCAAGGCAGCAGCAAATGGCACTTCCCAAGAGTGGCAGGGCTGCACAACGTGCTCTGATGGCGTGTGGGACGGCTGAGATGGGGAACTCCAGCGAGCCAAAGTGCAGACACCCAAAGCCTGAGAAGCAGCACACGCAGCCCAGGACTCCTGTGCAGCCACAGCACGATCACAGTATGAACTCAACCACAGGATACAGATGGCAGCGGTGACAACATCGATTGGGAGTCAGTTCCTGTCCCAGGAAGTAGCCTGCATCCTTTAGATGCTCAGAACACGTCCAAAGAAGTTACTCCTCCGTAGGTTCAGCCTTTCATCTGCCATCATTTCCAAGTTTTTCTGCTCCTCTTCTCTGCTAGTGTCAATTTGCTTCAAGTTCCTCCACCAAAATCCTTCAAAAAGGCTCATTAGCTTGGTAGAGAAGCTTTTTGTCTCCTTTCACTTTCCAAAATCCTGTATTTTTCATTAACTTCTCTCCTGAGAACAAGACTTTAAGAGGTAAAGCAGTCTGCATCTTCTTAAGTCCAAACCTCCATGGGTACCATGGACTCCTTTGTTCCAACAGAGGGAAGCAAGTACTCTTCCTCCAGAAAACGAAAGGGGAATTGTACTAAAAACCCACGAATCTTTTTTAATTCTTCTGCTGCTTTCGCAGGATCATCATTTGCTAATTTGGGCTTGTTGATGAAATCACGCAGTTGGGTTAAATTATTCACCTCATCACTGGGAAGGCATCGAAACACCTGATCAAAACAGAAAGAAGAAGTCACCTGTCAGTGTAGGGGAAATGCAGCAATGTAGAGTTCCTGAGAAAGACCAAAGCATCCAGTACAAATTTCCCAGGATGGGAGTGACCGAATTAACAGCCCAGAGAACAGGGAGGGAAGAAAGATGTGCCTGTCCTTGATGAGGCTGCAGCAGGCAGAGGGGAAGCTCCAGGGCCTGTTCTGATCACTGCAAAAACTCATTAAAAGACAGAAGTAAAATCTGCTGCTACTCCAGTTACAATGTGGCTAATTACAAGTAGTAACTACACCAAGGTCATTCACTGGAGCTACAGCTGATGCAAACACAGAAATCTGATCTGCTGCCTTCATGGGTGCTGTCACAGTGAGCATGCACCAGCTCCAGTTTCTTGTTCACAGATCTTGCATCTGACACTACTCATTCCCTCAAAACATCTCTGAAGGTCCAACCCCAGGAACTGGACCTGCTTTCTTTGCCCTCCCTGTGCTGTTTCTCCCATTGGCATGTGCTGCCTCTGTGTGGGATGGAGGGAGTGGGGCTTGCTGTGCTCCTCACTTTATCAAAGATGGTGGCATTGCGAGCTGCTGTGGCGATCCACACCTCCTTGAAGAATTTGTCACAGACAGGATCCTGGTGTTCTGGATTGAGATCGGAGCCGCCAAGGACAACCCTGAGAAGACAAAGGGATGGATGGTCACAGAGGCTGAAGCACTGGGCACTCCCCTCTTGATAAATGCCAGGAGACGTTTCCTTGGGATTTGCCAAACCCCGTGTGCTCCCAGCAGCCTCCCATTCCCATCCCCTGTGATAATCTGCCAGCTCCAGTGCTGCTTGATTTTCTCCTTTTCTTTTGTGCAGTAACTGTCCAGATGGGAAATAGGGTGGGGGGGGGGAAAAAAAGGAAAAAGAAAGAGGCCTTAAACTAAAAATGGCTGTGTTTTGGGCCAGATGGCTGCTCCCAGCAAAGAAGCTTCCTTTAAAAAGTGACACTGCCACCCAAGCTTGAGAGTGTGCAAACGGGAAGTGGAGGGGAAATACCACTCGTTTATGAGCTCCGCTAGCGAAACTCCGGAGCAAAATAATTTGTAAAATCAAGCTACCAAGCTGTGGGCAGGAGCGGTGTGAGGCCAGTGGAACAGCAGCAAAACCCTGGGCTCGGTGCAGGTGGAGCAGAAGCAAAGCCAGGCGGGCAGTGCAGCCCATTGGTGTGAAGGGCTGTGGGGCAGGTCAGAGAGCCCTGCTCGTAGCCCTGCTCAGGG